AAATAATTCAAAGGATAAGAATGGAAAAGTCTATAATCAAAAGAAGATAATAATCCTATATTTTGTTTAATATTGTAAAAAAATGAAAAAGTTTTAATTTCTGGAAGTGAATAATATTCAATTAATGTATGGGATATTGATTTTGAACTTAATCGTTTGAATTTAAGTTATTCTTTAATAAAACATACTCAAAGTGTTTGTAGTTTATCATTAAATGAATCTGAAACATTTTTAGTTTCATGTGGGAATGATTAGTAAATAATTGTTTGGATGAGAGAATAAAATAATTAATGGGGGTTTAAATAAATTGTTACTTAATCAATTAAAGAGATTGGCACTAAAATTTGTTTCATAAAAGAAAATTAATTTATATGGATTTGTGGAAATTAAAATGGAAAAGATTGTATATGCTTTTTTGAATTATAGAATGAGTAGTTTTAAGAATAATTTAACTAGTAAATCAACTTAATATCTAATAATTAAGAAAGTGATTAAAATTTATTTCCAATAATTTTTAATAAAAAAAAAAAAATCATTTTCTTAAGACATAAATTCATTATATACATTCTCTCTCAACAATTTCATAATAAATATAAAATTGCTTCAAAATTGAAATTTGATAATTATTTAATCTAGGGATCTATGACAAATGATGCTGAATTTATAGTTGTGTGGGAAAAGAGTAATTCAAGTTACCTTATATATTAAATTAACTAAAAATAATGAGGTTAAATTTAAACATATTGATATTCATATTGTTATTAATATATTCAACTAAATTATTATTAATAAAAATATTATAGTTCTAATTTAAGTAGTAATATCTATTTTTTTTAAATATTTAGAGTTGTAATATTTATTGAACTTTTTTATAATTAGATAAATTCGGATAAATATATTTAACTATATTGATATATTTTAATAAATCTATTATTAATATATATATCTCAATTAAAACAAATATTATAACGTTTACAAACATTATCAATTTCATTAGTAATAAATTTTGAAAAAAACAATTAAATATTTATTTATTAGTTTTATTCTAATTTCTATTTGATAAATATGTATTTATTAAAATTTTCAACTTTCATCATCATCCTCATCATCATCTTGACCCTCTGAATTTTTTGACTTGCACAATAATAATACTACTATAATAATTAATAAAATTAAGGCTAAAAATAACACTAGGGATAGACAAAAAATGATTGGTACTGAAATAATATAATCTTTTTCGGTTAAATTCAAATTCTATTAATTTTAATAATGATTTATACAAGTTGTTCTAAAATCATTTTTGCAGAATGGATTATTAAAAGTTCAAAAAGCATAATAGAAATTCCGCAAATCAATAGATTCCACCAAATGTCTATAAAGTACAAAATTGATATAAATGAAAAAATGCAATTTAAAATGATGCTGTATATGCTATATTCTAAAATATTGATATTTCATTTTACTTGTAGGCTAATAGTCTTATTTCTTTAACTATACATAAATAGCTAATACTACATTAATTATAAATAAGCATAAAGTACTGCTTAATATTAAATAATCTAAAAATAAATTTAAATATAGTATATACATCCATTTTTTAAATAAATGAAAAGAAAATAGCTTAAAGTAGTAGCTGAAACGATAAATGAAATAGTGAATATAGTCTATAATATTAAAACTATTTTATATTGGTTTAGAGTCTTTTTTTATTTACAAATTTACTTTCTTAAACTTTAGTTGATAAATGAATATTGAAATTATCACAGCTAATAAAATAAAGCAAAAAAAAAATGAAACTCTTGTGATTTTTAGGGTTTTCACGTTAAATAAATATTCTTATAACATTGAATTCTGACCTTATATCGTTAATATCATAAATATTATTCCGAATAGACAACCTATTATACCAAGTACTTTTGCTATAAAAGAAGACTTTATTATTTATTAATTATTCTCCTAATCTGCTCTAAAAAAATTAATAACAAATACGAATTCTTTTAAAACGGATTTTCTTATTTTTCTTCTAAAGGAAAACAATATACTAGATCTTAAGATCCATTTTCTGAGATATATCTAAGTCCATTATTCATTAAATAAAATTTAATTAATTTACAAGCATTTATGGTTGTGAATAAGCTGACATAAATAACATGATTATAAGTATCAATATGTGAACCTAAAAAAACAAAAAATTATTAAATAATCATTGATTAATAAAAGTCTTAAACAAATATTATACTTTATTGAATGATTAGAATCTTATAAAACATATAAGTAAAAATATTGTTTTCATTAATAAATCTTCAATTATAATAATCAATATTAAATATTTTAAATAAATTAAATTAAATTATAATATGATGTTAGAAAATAACAGCTCATTTGAATTCTTAACAAATACTACAAATTTCTCTAAATTTTATTTTCCTCTATACTTATTGTATCTTTTTACTAAAAATTATTTTAAATAAAAAGAGTCTTCATTATTATTAGAAAAACGTCTTTTTATTAATTATTAGAATGCAAAGAAAGTAATTCTAAATAATATCTTAAAATTTTTTAATTAAAAAATAATTCCAAATCTTAAGAGATATTGATAAGGTAAGAAAGTTTAATTACCATCATTAATAATCAAAAAAGAAATTCTTAATTTTAAATGATAAATTGTGTCATTTTTTAAATTCATTTATTTCATTATCTGCTTGCAATATGTCAATTTGTTTTGTTATTATTCTTCACTTTAATTGCTTCCTTTTTTAAATTGGATAGAATTCCTCAACTTTTCATTAAAAAATAGAGATAATTTTAATATCAAATAGATATAAATATGCCCATTTTATCTCCCAGGTTATTTAATTTATACTAGTTTGTTTCTCAACTTGGATATTTACCAAATATGTATAAAATTTAATTTGAAGTTACAGGGTTATATAAATAATTTTCTTCAAAGAAATCATATATAAATCTCCATTTAAAATATAGAACAAATAAATTTGAGTAACTTAAAACTAAAGATATAGCTATTATCTTGTAACTAATATACAATTTAATTTCGAAAAATACTTAATAGATCTTACAACAATTTTTTATGATTTCTTTTAATTAATTTCTATTTAACAATATATTTTAAATACATCATATTATAATTCAAAACTATTTATGATACAAAATAAAGGATGATAATTACTAAAATCATTATTTTGATAATTTTCTCAATAATTGATATATATTTAAACTATTATGTGAGTTCAATGAAATAAATTAAAATTATCTTAAGTTATATTCTTCAAAATATAACTTAAGATTATAATTCATAAGTCCATCTCAACATACTTTAATTTACCAATAAAATATTATTAATCGATTAATATTGAATAATTACAAATAATACTGTATTTTTTAATAAATGAACTTAATATAATTGTATTTAAAAATGACTAAATTTCATTAATCAACTTATTTAGTCAAGCAAATTAAATAACTGATCTCAAATTGATACTATTAGTTTAATGTAATTTAAAAGTTAAATTTTATTCTTGAGAAGTTGTTACAAATAAAAAAATAATGTAATGTTATAAAATTGTGCATTTACTTTAAATAAATTTCTTAACCTTTAAAAATTCACTAAAAGTCATTCTTCTTCAAATTTTACTTTTTTTCTATTAATAATTCTTTACGTTATTTCACCATCAAATAATATTAATTAATTTTTATTTTGTAGGATGATGAATTTTATATTTAAGATTTTCAAATAGTTTAATTGACTCTAATTTAATAAGCAACCATATATACAAACATTACAAATAAATATAAATTTCTTAAGATATTAATATTAAAAAAAATAAAAATTATGATAATATTCTTAATAATTTAGTAGGTCCCCATGTACAAATTCTAAAAGGAAGTCCCTTTGTATCCAACAGTTAAAGAGTACTTTGAATTAAGTCTGGATGATGATTTATATTATATGAATTAATCAAGAAATGTAACAAAAGCACCGGTATCAAAAAGTCAGATGAACCCTCAAGTATCAAATGTAGAAATAAATACTCATTTTGCTGCTTTCTCCAATTAAAATTTAATGATTTGACATGAATGGAAGAATCAAATTCTTCAATAAGTTGGATAGACCTTATAAATTGAATCTTCATTTAATTGTTTTAGCATAAATTTATCTTTAGATTTTGACATTTTGCTTGATTCTTATTAGAATCAATAGTTGCTTTTAATTAGAGTACTAATCATAGGTGCCAAAATCAACAAAAATATAATCAATTTACAATGGAACGACTTCTTTTATAATATATGCCTAATATTTTCCCAATTTTTACTCTATATTCTCACTATTTTCAGAAATTTTAATAATATGAGTAGTTATTACAATAATAAATTTTTAGAAATTAGTAACCCTATTAAAAAAGCTTCTAATATTAATGTAAAGAATTAGCAAGAGAATTATTGTTTTTTATATACTCAGAGTCTAATTTTGAATTACAATCATTTTCAAATTTAAGTCTTGAAACAATTTTAGAATGATTAATGCTTATTGCTGTTTTTTGACTTATTCTTAATGTGATGAAATTTTGCCATTATGTTCAAAGCCGTCTTTACTTACACAAATAGAATGTGAAAACTAAATAATTTATTTAACTTAATTTATATGGATAGTTCCATTTAGAATATACTCTAAAATAATTAAGATACAATATTGTAATATAATTGAAAAATAAGAGTATATTATTAGCGAGTAACATTTTAATAGGAGCGAGTAAGTTTAAGTAATTCTTTATTATTTTTGAATGATGATACTGAATGAATAAGATCCAATCATAAAATTGAAATATTTAAAACATTCAAAATAATGTGATATATTAATTTTTTTATTATTAATTTAAGGTTTCTTTAAAAAGGCCAAACATTTAAACAAAAACAGAACTAAAAATATTTTTTAAGATTTTGTTCTATCATACTGTAAGGAATTATAATTCAAATTTACTAAAATGTAGAAAAAATCAGATTTATTTTCAAATCTTCTAAATTAATTCATAAAATCAGAGCATTAACTAGAAGATAAATAGTAGATAGAATTTAATCATTATAAAACCTAATAAGAATAGAAAAGAATCAACATAGCAAAGGCAAAAATTTTAGAAAGTTTATAAAAATAGCAAAAATCTAATAGTTAAACTTTAAAAACTAAAGCCTAATAAGTATTAATGGCAAATTTTATTTGAAATGTTATTAACATGATTAATATTATGAGCTCTTTCTATTGATTATTAGTGTTTAAGTTTTGCCTTAAAATTATTCTAATATTTATGTAATTTTTGATTAAAATTTCAATCAGTATTAACTTTAGGATTAATATCAATCTAACATAAATTCTTTAAGTTTTTCTGGATAATTATTGAATTATTCTCTAGATTCAGATAGCATTCCTTTATTTTTTTCTCAGAAAACTTATCAGAAATTAGTTGAGATAAATTAAACATATTATCTTGTTTTATAAATTATATCAACTTACATTCCTGGTATCTTTTTAATAGGATATTATAATTAATCATTTGATTTTAATTATTGCTATAAAAAAATATTTTTTCATAATATTTTTTTATAGCAAATTCAATCCTAATATGTGTTAAAGCAAATTTATAAGGTTGCCAATAGTATTTAATTTGAAATTTTAATAGTAGGACTAAAGAATCTATATGTATACATTTAATTACAAAAAAATATTTCTGTTTAATCAAATGTTACTTTAGAACAACTATTTTCAGATTTTCTAGTTACATATTAAAATATTATAATATTAATCTTAAATTAAGACATTTAAATAATATCAATAGATTTCACAAATAAAATGACCATAAATTAATAGTAAATAAATAAACTTTTCAACAATATTCAATTTAATCCAATATAAATTGTTATGAATACTTAATTATTATTTTCTTTACTATTTATAAATAATATTCATAGAGTTATAATAATATAAATTAATGAAAATAATTTACTACTCCCTATTACCCTTATTTGGGTGAGTTTTATTATAAAGCAAATAAATTTAGTAAACTAACAAATGAATTTATCATATATTTTTAATAATAATCAGAATATTTGTTTCCAAGTTTGGAATATTTAATATTTACCAAAATATTACTATGTAAAAAGTCTTTATAGTGTAAATTTTGATAATAACATCAAAATATAATATGATAACAAATATGTAACTTTTAGTAATTACACTGTTTATGTATATAATCCTTCGTTACCTTAGCATATGAGTTGATATTATCTGCTATATTGTTATCACCTATATAATGTAGTTCAGCTGTTTTTTATTATCCATAAAATTTTGGGTCTGCAAAACTTTTTAATGAAAATAGTTTTTACTAGCTTGATGATTTTTAGCTTATAATTTAATATTTGATTAAGACAATCCTCAAACTAATTATTCATTAACCTACCCATAAGTGATATATAATTATTCAATTATTTCAGAAGAAAATCAATTTGCTTTATACTCAACTCCTAATTAAAGTCTAACTTATTTATCCAATTTCACAGTTTTTTAACATAGAATAATTAAATTAACTTAAGAAAACTTAATGTTGAATTCTATAAATTAGTCATCATGAGTTAATTCAATTTCAATTTTATATTCAATCAATGTACTATACATTAATATTAACTGACTTATCTATTCTTAGTATAATTCAATAGTTTTATATCATATATATTGGGTAACTTTTAAATAAAACTCTTCTGGTAACTTAAGATTTACAAATATTTTAAAACTAGCTAGCATTTTAAATCAAAATGATATTTTAGCTATCATAAATAATACAAGTTAATAATTATATGATAGTTTTAAATAATTTTACTTTATTGGTTTAATTAATTTAACAACAATTTATAGAAGTTATCTGTTTATAAAGAGAATAAAAGTATGTGTCAAGATTTTAAGTTAGTTAACTATAAACAAGTTCTTTTAGTAATTAATCTAATAATATAATTTTATTCATGACTAATGGATTTCATCTCTACTATCAAATGATGTTAATTGAAGTCCATTCTATTAAATCTATTTTATTAATTAAATTTCAATTACAATTTTGCAATTAATAATTTGGTTGTTTTTTGGAAGATCAAATAAATGATAATCTTTTAATTTTATATACAAAACATCTTAATGTAATTAGATTATTAAGCAATATACTTAACTAATGTTTATAAATTCATAGTCTAATTCTAAATGAACTGAAATAAGTTTCATAATAAAGATTAGAATTATTAGATTCACCAGCTTTAGCTTCAGTTATTTAACTATTCCAAATAATAATTTAATATTTTTTGGGTAATACACTTTTGGAATTTATCATGTAAAGTATTTAGAAGGACTAAATCCATTTGAGCCAATTTAAATTTAAGGTTAATTTGATACATCATCAACTCAATGTATAAACTGTATGAAATTGGAATAAGCTTATCGTTTTTTAATGACTTAATATTACATTCCATCTACCTTCATCATTTTATATTGCTTTCAATCATAATTTTACTTTTAATATTATATTGCATAAAAGTAAAATAAAAGATAAAGAATTTAGAATAAATTAATAATTCAAATATTTTGAACTATAATGTGAAAATATAAATATAAATAATACATTTATATTTTAATAAATATCATAATTCTAATTGTTATTTATCTATCTCTTATCATATATAAATCTTTAGTGGAATCAATGTTATTAATCTTATTAATATTACTTTAGAATATTGATAAGTAAATCTTGTTTAATATATATATATATTAATAATTTCTGCAAGAGAGTCTTTAAATTGAAATAATATCAATACTTAAATATAAAATAAGAATTATTATATATATAGTTATCAATTATATTATAATTCATAAGTTGAATATCCTTCAATTAAACTATCCCAAAATACCAAATATTATCCATTATTTGTTATAGACCCATAAATATCATTTGTGTTACAATTCAATTAATTATCTATTTTGAACATTCCATTATTCATTTCTCTAATTATATAAATATATGTTTTATGTCTTACTACAATCAAATTCTACTCTTTATTGTAAATAATTGGAAATCGATTTTCATCATATATATAATTATTTTTAATTAATTGAATTGTCTTTTCCCTTATCTCTTAATAATCTCCTCTTGTTTATTCAAATATATAAATTTTATCATTTTTTTAAGCACCACTTACCCACATAAATTAATTATCTTTAATAAACTAAACTTTATATCCAATGTCTAAGGTTGATTATTTAACATACTATTTAAATTAAAATATATCTTATTCTCTTCTTTCCCAAATAATAATTTAATTCTCTTTATTGGCACATGATACTAATTATTTTTCAGAATAATTTAAACTTAATCCAACAACAGCATCTTAATGTTTATCCAATTAATAATAATATGTCAATTCATTTAGATTTAAATCAACTTTCCAAACTTTAATTGATGCATCATCACTTCCAGAAAATAATAAATCCTCATTCTTATTCAGTAATAAGCATCTAACAAAACTATTGTGTTATTAATATGGTTTTGAACTAATCCAATAGTTTTAATCTATTTATTACCAGCACATTATAGATTCATCTAGAGCAGCTGAAATAAAGGAATTTTATTGCTTACTATAAACTAAACATTATATCCAATCAGAATGACCAAGCAAAGTTTAATTTAATTTCATTTATCCATTTTGAAAACTCCATACAAAAATATCATTGTCTGATGTTGATATCATAATTGATCCAGAAGAATTAAAAGCGATTGCTCTACATAAATCCATTTATTTAATAGATTAATCAATTAAGTTTAATTTGATTTAACCTACTTCTTAAGTTTTTTATTTATCATATATAACCATTAATTAAGAATTTGTATTGATTAATTGTTATGATTGTTTTAAAGATTAAATCTAAAAACTCATTTCGAGATTTTACAATATCTCTATACAATTATCATAATCTGAAAATTTCTTAAATTATTCTAATTTAGGAAATAATTTGGAAGTCCAAGATTTATTATTTTCCTTAATTTCATTCATTAAAACAGATAAATTCTCTTCATTTTTATTTTAATTCTAAACTAATCGTTCTAATTCATCATAAAAACTATATTAAGAATATTATTATATTTTTTATTATAGATTCTGAATCCATTTATTCATTGTAGAAATCATTGAGTCTAATTATTGAATTGCTTATGACTTCATTTAATTAACTTTACTTTATAATTATTCAATTTAATTTATATCCATCATTGTTTGATTTTCTACTTATTCCAACTTCTTTATTTAGTTATCTTCAATTTAGGAAATAATATTCTTTAATCCAATTACTTTGCCATTAATTTCTGTATTCTCTAAACATTTTGGGCATAAAAGTCTCTAATTGCTTGATAGTTTTGGATCAAAAGCTACTGTAACTATTTGTTATTTATGTCCTTTAGAACACTAGAAATCTTATTCCTTTTCTATCATTTTAGGTTTTAACATTTATTTTTATAATATAATTTATTGAGATACATTTCACATTTTTATAATGTAATTTAATATTTTAATCATAGAATTATGTACACAAATGTTATACATTAATTAATGAATGTATTGAATTATTCTTTTCTTATAATTCTTTATAAAAGCTATATGATTATAACATATCTTTCAGAGGGTTTAAAGCAAAAAGAAAATCTGAAAGTCTTTTATTTTATAAAATTCAATTATTAATGAGAGCCATCCCTTATCATTATATATGTATAATTATTAATTACAGAATAACAAAATAAGAGTATTATTTTTTAATTAGATTAGTAAAACACAGTAATTTTTTGAAATATTATGAGTGTTGTTTTACTTTCAGAATTTAAGGTTTTATTATTTTACTTAATATGATAGTACAGAAATTATAACTAACTTTATATGTATATAATTTGATTATTTCTATATAGATAGGAAAAGTAATATATAATTATTTATTGATTAAAGTTAATTAATATATTTATAACATATTAGTATAAACAAAATCATTAATCTTGATTTTATAATTGATAAATAGTATATTTTTTTTATTAAAGTGTTATTAGTTGGAGAATTATTTTGTAAATAAATGAATGATCACTAAAAAAGTATAAATCGATTTTACTTAAAATTAAGAGAACTTCATAAGTGTTTATGTTATTAACAGATAATTCTAATTAACAATAGAGAATATCATTATTTAATGTAAGATAAATTATAAATAGTATTATTAAAGTTTAAAAAATTCAATATAAATCAAAATACATAATTATATTGATCTACTATATATTAGACTCTAAATGATTGATTAGTTTAAATATGAAATAAAAATAATAACATATTCATTACAATCATTTTATATCATTTCATTAATTTTAATAAATCTATTTTATCTTTTAAAATAAATTAGAAAAATTACCTAATTTTAATAGAATATAGAATCGCAAATAATTAAATAATACCTATATTTTCTAATAAAATATCAATCATAATTAGAACTTAAAAATGAAATCAATAAATTTCAATATTATTAAAATTTTCTTATCTATATTTCTTTTGATTATTCATCCCATGTTACAAAATATTCTCCATTTTCACTCACATTACCATAGATACAATTATCTCCAAAATCTAGGGAGGAATCTAATATAAAATCAATATTATCATCAATTTTAACTAATTTTAAGAAGTTTACTTTATAACCATTTTTACTAATCAAAAGATTTTACTAATAGATAAATTTTTGTGGAAAAAGTGAAGCACAAGCTTAACCACGACCTTCAACATGTAATCTTTTTGGAGTTTCATTAAATTATTATTAACTTTTATTAAATTCATAAATAAATAGTTCAGAAGATTAATAGGGCTGAAATGTGAATAAATAATTATTGATAAAACATAATCTACAACCAAAATTATTTAATTCAATTTTTTGAATCACAATCCATTTTTACTCTTTTTCAATTATTTATTGTGAAATTACAAGTATAAATTTATCATAACCACAAGAGATAATCTTATTTTAATCTTCATTTAAACTTAATGCAAAAACTTCCCAAAAATGATCTCTGATTATTTAACAACACATCCATTATTAAGTATTAAAAACCTTTTTCCAAAATTTAATTGTTGAATCTTAATAACCAGATATAATTAAATCTTCATTTTTATTAATAATTAAACAAAGTACTCCTTTTTCTCCTTATGAATTTATATATAATTTATTGAGTATTAATGATTTTGATATTAAATTAATTGACCATATTATGATTGTATCATCCCTGCTACCTGATACAAAGTTCTAAGAGTATTTCATGTAATTTAAAGTAATAAGATTTGATTTATGTGAACATAATTTGTTTATCAGTTTTAATTCTTCCCTTTTGAACAAGAACACTTTAATTTAATTATTACAGCCTGCCAATAAAATTGAAGCATCTTAATTAAAAGTTAATGAATTGCATTATTCCTTTTATTAGATTATATTTAATAAAGATAATTTTATACATTAGTTTTAGGTTTATGAATTCTTATTCAGATTTCCCATTTTTTTTAAAATTGTAATTTATTTATTAATCAAATGACTTAAATTTGTAAGAACTCAATGTGATTTATATAAATAAATTATTATTTTTTATTATTATGAATAATGACAAATAAATTTAATATTGTATATTTAATTCAATTCTTGTTAAATATCTGCTTAATCATATCATTAAAAGTGACAATAAATTACATGTAATTCTAAATAATAATAAATATATGTAATACAAAAATCTCTTTGTCTTCCTTGAACATATTACTTTAAATTTGTTATAATTTATAGTTTTTCATATTTAAAATTGATTAAGGGTTCTCAGAAACTTAAGCAATATTAAGTCTAATTATGAGGACACCAGAATGAATAAAGAATTGAGTTTTACCAAATCTAAATAATGAATCCACTCCTTCAAGTTTATTAGACTTAAATTAAAATGCCTTTGATCATAATAAGTATATTATACTAAATTCGGATGAATTTCATTGATTTCAACATAATATGCTATGAATTACTTGAGATCATTTTAAAGAATTGTATCTCCAATAGCAGCCAATATCTATTTTAACCAAACCCATTCTTTTAGTATAGAGATTGCAGTAGCTATTTTACATTCTATTAATTAAATATATATTTTATACTTTTTCCTGTATGTTTTTGAATTATTCTAATTAATTTCGTTAAAATGATTTCAGTAAAGGATAAACAATTTAGAGTAAATTTAATTTCATGATTCAATTCTAAATTTAAATTATCAAATAGATAATTAACTAAATATATTGGAATAGTTTCAATAATATATGTATATTCAAACATATTAGAGTCTTTTATATGAGGTTTTACTTTTTTTTATATAAGTGGCCAATAGACATCCCTTGTTGCTAATCTTTCTTCATAATCATTAGGTATTTTATTTAAGAATTCATTTAATAATTTTGCATATAAGTTGAGTTCATTCTAAAATTTATATATTAATAATATCTTACACAAGCTGATTAAATAAGTGATAAAGAATCATAATTTTGTTTGGATTCTTCTTCTGTAATAATATCAGGTTTATATTTATAAGCTTATAATGAAACAACTGGATATAACTCTGGAAATGTTAAATCTATTTCTATGTTTTATTATGTCTTATGTATTTTTGGCTTGTAATTACTAAATGGTATAGCTTAAATATTATATCAAAAAATAAATTACAATAAAATTGATTTTAAAATTTGAATTAAATATTTCTTTAAATTCTTGGATTTCTAAAAAAAAAGTTTTTATAATATTAAATAATTATTCCATCTGGTTCATCTTCACTTTCTTAAATCCATTTTTCTAATTATCCTCTGTCCATAATGTTATTATAAAATGATCTAATGGCTTCATCCAAATAGTAATAATAAAAAACTTGTATTTTTGACATTTATTTATAATTTTCTAGATTCAATTTCAACTTTAAAATTGAACTTTCAAAAAAATCTTCCTCATTAAATTTACGCATTTCGTTTTACTAATATGGTTCACGGATTAGATAATCTTCATAAACAAGGTCACACATAAAACTTCTATAAATCTTATCCTTTTCATCGTAAGTTTTAGTATGTATATAAGGAATAGGATATGGATTATTAGGACTTGTACTTCTTTGGAGATATATATTTATATCAATATTGAAGTAATATGTGTTAAAAATAGAATTAATTCTATTCTTCTTTTTTGTGTAAGAATAAGTTGGAGGTTTAAAAATATTATTAATCTAGAATTTGAAATAATACTATCCAATTAATGTATCTAATTAATTGTCTAATCCATTAAATCTAGGATCAACATTATCTATAAAAGTAATAATCTTATATTTTGAAATTGCATCTTTTAAATCAAATTCTTTAAATTGATTTTCTAAATCAAAACAATATTTTAACAAACAAATTACATGAATCCATTTATCATTAGTAAAATTTTGATTTGATTTAACTTCAAAGAATTTTTGAATAAAATCTTAATCTATTTAATTTTTCCTATATTTATATTTCATTTCCTCTTTATTTCTATTTTTCATAAAGTAACTGATGATTTATTATTAGAATTACTTATCATTCTCCAAAGAAAAAGGAAATATCTAATTCTTTTATTTATTTAAACATTTATATGCAGGATGTTCAAGTAAGTTATCTATTACTCTCTAATATCCTGTATATTTACTTGTATAAACTTAATTTATTAAAAGTTAGAATAATTCATTATACTTATCTTAATTCAAACTTTGATTAAAACTTATAATTGTTTTCAAATATTTAATATCCTCAATCTATTATTAAGATTACTAATTATTATTTGATTCAATTTATTGAATAAATTATAAATTAAAAGGTTCTTTATATCCATATTCTAATAATCTAGATAATATAATTGGATCAATTTCTTTAGGTTGTTTTAAAGGAGCCAATACTTAATATTCTATTAAATATTTTTGGATCAAATTAGCTGATTCATCATTAGTAGTAGCAAGCAATAACAATTATAGAAATATATTAAATCTAACTTAATTGGAGCATTTATTTTAAACTAATTTTTTTAAACCATTTTTAGGTTCAATATAATCCTTACGTCTTTTTTTCAAAACCTTCTATTTTATTTCTTTATTAAAATTCTCTTAATCATTAGAAATCTATAACATCTCAGTTCTATTATTATTTATTTGATTATCTTATGGTTCTTCTGATTCAGAATAATAATATTCATAATCACTTTCATAATTATATTATACTTTCTTAGCTTTTTTAGGTTTCCTATCATCTATTTTTACATAATCCATTAAAGAATATAAATAAATATCCAAAGCCTTATCAAATTATTTTGGTTCAAATATATATATTGATTTAAAAAAGATTATACCAAATTCAAATTCTAAAAAGAAATTATAAATATTTAAGTTTTCTTTTGGTATTTTCTAATCATACCAAATCATAGGGAAATTCAGTAAATAGTAATATATTTCATGATCTTGGTAGAGGATCTATTTTAAAAATTATATAAAATTAATCTTATCTATTAAGAATTCTTAATTCTTTGAAGGTAATTAAAGTTACTTTAAGATATTTTAGAATTCAGGATCGTTAATTATTTGATTATCTAATCTTTATCGATCGTTTTTATCTAAACAATCAATATATTGATCAATAGAAAATATTGGTCTTTTTGTTTAAGTCTTGCGAATATCATCATTTGATATTGAATATTCATTATTATTCAATTCATAACTTGAAGGAATACAAAACTTTACTCCCTTTTCAATCCCATTGACTTTCAATCTAATCAATGAATGTTAAATTATCTTCTTTTAGAATAAGCTTTTATATTATTTTTCATATTTAATATCAGATTTTCTTTAAATAATTGAATCTTACCAAAAGGGTTACGACCTTCCATTAATTATTAAATATTCTTTAAGAATATTCAAACATGGATTTGATATTAATGATACATCTTCAACTATAAAACAACCCATGAGCTCACTTTCAAAATTGAATTATTAGGTATTATATTCATAATGGTTTATTCTCAAATATCTCATCATTTTGATACAGTTACTTATATAATTTAAACCTTTCTTTTCAAATTCTGTAGCTAATATTTATAATTAATCATTTGATTGTAATGTAAATCTGATTTAAGGGAATGGATGAATTTTATTAACTTTTAAATTTAATCTATGGAGAGTATCAAAATATTCATAAAAACCAAATTAAGCTGCAATTTAGGCTAACGAATTTTATTAAATATTATTCTAATCATTTAATTCTTATTATATTTCTACTTCATTTAAATTTGTATTTTTAGTTTCAAGGCATTCAATTTAATTTATTTTCAATCTTAAATTTTATTCTTCAGATTTTCCCCCAAATATTTACTTAAATAAAATATCATGTATCAAAGTATCATATGTTTTAAATCTCTTATAGAATATTAAACATTCAAATAATCTTCGATCAAATTTACTAATTAAATCTTATTTATATTTTTTATCATAAGGTAATTTAAATAATTCTTTAACTATATCTTCACAATCTCTATCTGAAAATTTTGATATATAATAAGTAAGTTCAACTTAAGATAAAATTTCATCTAATCTTTTCTTTTTGAATGACAATATCACATCTTTGTGATCTAAAACTTAGGGTTTTTTTATATTTTGATCTTTTTCTTTTAAATATAGGAAGGCTAACTATTATAGTATTTTAACATTAAAATTCTTTTTCCTTATAGTTTAAGATATAGCTATAAATTATTCTTCAAATTAATTCTTTATGCTTAATTAATCTAATTTAACTAAAATTTCACTTGCAATTTTAAATTTTAATGCTTTTTAAGGATTAAGAATATTAGGTAAAAGTTTTTTGAATATTTCATGAATTTCATCTAGAATTGTGCTCATTTCTTCCAAAATTGTATTTATTTCTTCTTCATCATCAATTTATTAAATATTTAAATTTTTGAAAATATAATGAATCTATTAAATATTCATAGATTCATTTTTTAATTATAATTGTTGAAATTTTGGTCTTACAACTTAATTAAGAATTTAACGTAATTGATTAAAAAGTATTCTATTTTTCATTTCATTTTTCATATTACTAGAAACAATCATATTTATTTATTCATCAGGATTTATAAACCCATATATTGTTAAAATTTTAAGTAGATAACGATAATCATCATTAGTTTTGCATAATGGAATTCTATATTTTTTAAATTCATTCATTAATTATTTCAATACTTTTTTATATGAAAGGTTAATCTCTTAAAATCCTTTAAAGAACAATGAACTTAAATTTTATCTTTATATTGAAGATTTCCAGCTTTTCAAATGACGAAAAGTAACTATATCTTTTTCAAATTATTACTCAAATTTAAATAGATCAAGTCTCTCACTCTTAGGATACGATTATTTGATATAATAATCTAATTCATTCTATATATTAGAATTCATTTCTTATAATTAATATAAAACAGATATAGGGGTTCTAATTTAATCCAAAGAATCTGGAAATACTACATTTTCTGTTTTCCATTTTTCCTTTTATTATTTCATCATCTATCTATTTTTAGGTTATATTGATATTAAATCAAAGCTTTTAATTTTGTAAGATGCCATTATCCTTTAGCATTTTCTATATATTTCATACTCTTCTATACTAGTATCATCCAAAAATTCTCTCAATTTTCTTTTTAATTCTTATCTACTCAAATTTACTTCATTAGTTGATGAAGCCTTCTCTGTGTTATCATTCTCATATAATTATTATTCTAAAGAGAAACGCTAATCTGGGTTGGTTAATCTATTGTATTAATAATCTTCTGACATTTGGTTTTCTGCTATAATACAGACTAATAGTATAGTTTAACGTAAAATTTAAGGGTCTTTTAAATGAGGAAGCAGTAATTCAAGTTTTTCATATTAACCATTTAAAGCAACAGATCTAATACAATCTTCAATATCAACAAATTATATATTATCTTTAAGAGCTTGGGCCAATCGTTTTCGATCAAGTAAAGCTGCCCAACTATTTCCCTAGGCTTATATATATGGTTATAGTTTATCTTAATTTATATAAGTTTTCTTTAGTTATTGATATTCTATATCAATAAGACAATGTATAAAATATAGATCCATTCTAATTCGAAAATAATCTATATACAATTGAATCCATTCCTAACTTATTTTATCAATATAATTTCTAATCCATAGTAATATTTATTATTAAGTTACTCCAATAGATTTCTTTGTTTGAAATGAATTCAATATCAGACGATGAACAATTCTATTAAAATTTGATTTACTATCACAAATTAAAGGTAAGAATTATTCAGCCTTTAATACTAATAACAATTTTTCAATTTACTTTTAATCTAATTTATCTCTATAATCGCTCTCTTATACATCTAATATTTAATTTGGATTCAGTATAATTTAAAATTCCTTTGTATCATAATCTTATTCTTCTGTGTCTTCCTTATTTTAATTCTTAATTAAAACTAATTTTATTAAATCCTTTAAAGATTCTTTATCTTTAGAGCGTTTTAATGCTTTTCCTAATAACTTTATATCTAATCTATCTAAATCTTTGACCTGTAATACTGAAATGAGTGCATTAAATTAAATCAAATTTATAAGTTCTAATAATGTTTCTGGATTTCCTTTGTATAAGTACTTGAATGGATAGTAAGATTAGATAATGTTGGTTGGCATAGGTATTACCAAAATTTCTGTATATGCCTTAACAAAATCTTTTAATTGATTTATAATAAGATTTTAAACAGAATCTAGATTCTGGGATTTTAAATTCCTTATTTCCAACAATATCAAAATCTAAATTTAAAAATAATATAGGATCTAAACAATCTCATCAGATTCAAGATTATTAATATCATATGCATTTTTTTTAACATCATTATACATTTATTATAATAGAATAATTAGTTTTTATTATTGTTTATGTTTGATCAATAATCTAATAGGTAGATTTATAAAGGTAATAGTTTTTAGTTATTCCAAAGAGGGTATCCATTATATGAATCTAAATAAATCATCAAATTATTAAAATAAAGTTTCTGGTAACTTAGAAATGATTGATTAAATAATAAATTAATTATTTAAATCCCAAACAAATTCATTTTTTATCTATTCTTCTTTTGGTTATTCATTTATACTTTGATCTTCATTTTAATTTGGAATTAGCATTTAACAAATAAATAAAGATGTTCCAATTTCTCTTTAGACTCTATCTAATTTTTTCTTACATTTAGATTTTAATACTTCTAAGTACAGACTTAATGGAATGAAATCTCCAGATCTTAATTTTTATGTTTTAATTATTTAAAAATTTGAACTATTAGATTGATTAATAAATTATTTAATAGATTTCAATATTTCTGATAACTCATTTGTTGTCAAATTTAGATTTAAAATTATATTATGTAAATAGTTTTTACGATATTCATATTATTTATTCAACCATTAAAAAGGTTTTTATTTTTTATTTTGATTGATTTCTTATTTAATTTAATTAAGTTCATTTTATTTATTTAATCCTTAAATGGGAACAATACCTTAATACATATCTTATTATGGATTGAATTATTAAAATATAGTATTTAATTATTAAGAATATGTATTAAATAGAGATTGAAGTACATCAAATGGAGCTGTTTCTAAAATAAGAGAAAATGGTGTAATTCCTTAAAAATCTGCAACAAAGAACCATTCTGGATATTTTTCAAATATTAAATGACTTTTATTCCATTTTTATCTTCTAACAATCTCATGCATAATGTTCTAACCAATTGATTTAAGTTATAAAGATTCAGCTTTCTTTTTTAAATCTAAATCTTTAGGAAAACAAGGAATATCAAAATATATTGATTTCTTTGCATCAATATGAGCCATTTTAATTGCTCTTGTAAATTTTGAATCTATATTAAAATTTTCAAACATTTTATTTAACTTTCCGAAAACCATAATATGTTCATAATTCTTTGCATCAAAATCTAAAATATTGTTATATTTTACTTTATAAAAATGGGGGATTATTTGTTAATATATTTTCTGAGGCAAATGAATAATTTTATATTAAAATAGCAACTTCAGGTTTCTTTTCTAAAGCTTTAATAAATTAGATGATGACTTTTAGATTAATATTTTTTCTTAAATGTAGCCCTATCTATTAAAATAAATTATTAGAGAAACTTTCTAAATTTAATTCATCTTCTCCTATTAATTTAATTTCTTGCATTGCTTCAAGTACTCCTGTTAAATCATCTGTTACAAGAAGAAAATCCATTAAACAATCACCAAATTCTTCACATTTAGTCAATAATAATTAATTAGCTGTACATCCCATTTAATACAAAGCTTCTTCAATTGCTTATCTAGACAATCTTCCTTATCTACTAAGAGCTCTTAATTGAATTTATATTTCAATAAATTATCCATTTTTGTTTAATTCATAAATTAATGCAAGTGTAGCATCAAAATGTTATTTTCTCATATTTCTTGAATTAGGTCTAGATCTTCCATAAAGATCAGGATCATTATATTTTTATTCATAAATGATTGTCAATTATCCACATTCAGTTGTAACAACTTCAAGAGTACATTCAGCCACAATCTCTTAAGAAATTGAATCAATTTTTTAAATGACAAATTTATCATTCTCATCAATATACCATCTATATTCTTATCCAGACATTGCTTAATCAATTAATCGATGTCTTGCTCTTTCTTCTTCTGTTTTTGGAGAACCTGGAATACCAGAATATTTATCTAAATAAATTATAAATTCTTACTCATTGGAATCTTTTCATTTCCAAACTGAATTAGTTAAAATTACACATTACCGATATAAGATTTTGTTTATTTCATTGTTTTAAACATTTCCTTTTCAATCCAATTTTCACTTATAACCTTTTTTTGAAAATCAAGTATCTCCTTTGCCCCAAAATAATCTTCATTTATTAAATCAAATTACCCAACATATTTCTATTAAATATTAATTATTTTATACTTCATCATTATTTTTAATTTTCCATAATACTATCTCTACAATCTCATAATTATTATTATTGTAAACAAAATCCAATAAATCTGTTTATACTCCTTCATAATCTTTTGGAATACTCTTCATTAAGGTTTATTTCTTATATAAAACTTCCCAAAAAAATAAAGCTGGATTTTTATGGTTTTTTTAATTGTAATCATTAAAAAATTTTAATTTTTGGATACGTAAAATACATAATATATTGTTATGACTAATTTTGGATTCTATTGATCCAAATAATAACTATGTTTATGTTTTCTTGAATAATCCATCAGTCATTTTATTCAATTATTTCAGATACACTTAAAGTTTAGGGCCATGTAATTATTGATCAACACTTTTCCCTCTTCCTATTTATATCAACTCTGAAATTGTATCTGAGTTTGATAATGGTTTAAGTTTCTTTAAACTCCTAGCTATTTCTGTATTTTTATTAACCATAACTGATGGCTTTATATTTGAAGATGGGGAAATCAATGAAACAGGAAATAAAACCTTATCATTTTAACCTTCTTTGCTATATACAGAATATTAAATATTATTACACAGGGAAGTTGACTAAGGAATATATTGTTGATTAATGTTAGTTATCAACAAATTACTGTTAAGAAGAATTAGGTTGTTAATTGCCAAATGACTAATACTTATAAAAATAATTAAACCTTAATAGCTTATGCTTTTTACTCCTTTTACTACTTAATTGATTCTTAATAAAGGAATTGAGTTGGTTTCATTTTTTGCAGTTTTTTTTTATTTTAAATAAATCTCTAAATATTACATAATCATATGAGGATGGACTTTTTATAAATTCGAAATTCATTCTTTTTTTTTATTAAAATTTATTTTCAAGGATTTTTTAATGCCTCTTCTCTTGATAAAAGGATAAATATACTTGAATTATTCTCTTTGGAATTAACGAAGCATTTATTTGTCATAAATTGAAATTCAGTTATTAATTGAAAGCATAAATTATTTTATAAAATTGAGATAATTTTGTAGAGGAACATTACTCTATACCCACTAATTAAATGTAATTAAAGTAAATTATTAATAATCTATTCATCCATAAGAATTAATGGAAAAGCTGAAATAAGACAAAGTATTGTTTAATTTTTTAATGAGTTTTGCATTCAAAATAACGAAATTTAATTTTTAAATAATATTTTAAATTTAAGGAACTTACTTCCATGATATGAAATATTTATCATATTCTAATAAGAAATTAATTAAATCAGTTAATTGTATAAAATTTATTAAAAAATTTTAAATAATTTTTTTCATTTTCTTTGTCAATTTTATTTCAGAATAACAAATTAGATTTGAAATGTTATTATTTTTATTCTAATATATAATAATAGTATTATGATAATTTAGTTTATTATATTTTAATAAAAAAGAAATGATTCTATCATTCTTTATTAATAATATCCTTAATATCAATCGCAATGTGTTATTGTTTTATTAATACAAATTTAGGACCAATATGTATACTAGTTTTATATTAACAATATGAATAATAACACTTTAATATTAAAATAGAAATATCTAAAAAAAATTGAAAGTATAATTATATTTAGATATTTATTTTATTAAATAAGAATTTATTTAATTTATTTTAAATTTCATTTATTTGCTCATTAATCTAATATGCATATAAATTTAATAATATTCATCAGCCTTAATGTAAAAAATTATGAGTGAATTTTTTCTTTTTCAGGCCATTTTCATAGGTCCCCTTTAAAACTTATAAGCTTCCGAATTATTCGTTCCCAAAATAATTATTCAAGTCAACCCAATAACCAATTTTCTGACCATTTTTATCATATTAACCCCCTCCTCTAACAAATAAGATTTATATCATTAATACATAATTGAAAAGTCCAATTTAGGATTATTTCTATATAAAGTATTCCACTAACCCAATTTCATACCAAATAAATACTCTCCTTTCATAATCACCTAGTTTTAACTACTTTATATAACATAATATACATTCCAAAATTTTCTATCAATTCTATCCAATCTCCATTTTTAAGTCCTTGTTAATCAAACATTCCTCCACCACTCAATATATATAATTTAATACATAAATTAAAATTTTTCTTTTTCGTGATATCTCATCATAATATTCCATCTTCCTGTTTTGGTTCCATTTAAATAATCTCCAACTAAAGTCACTTAGGATGAACTATAAGAAATATAATGGTATATACTTTTAAAAGTTCTTAAATATTTCAATCCATTTTCCATTCTTCATTCCATTATTATCATAAATCCCACCTCCACTAGAATTTTTAATTAAATTTTTACATTTTATTAAAAGGATATTTGATTGTATATCTAAATTTTATAATCCATGATCCAATCTTATTTCCATTTTAATATTCTCCAGACTCAATAACTTAGCATTGTCTAATCGCAAACTATTAAAATATATCATTCTACTTCCAAAAATTATTATTCATTTCAATCCATCTACCATTTTTTATCCCTTAATGATCATAATTTCCACCACCACTAAATAATAATATAGATTATTACATTGTTTTAAATTTATGGTGTTGATTTAATCTAAATTAAGTATTCCATTTTCCTTATTTTATTCCTTTAACATATTCCCCTTCCAAAAGTATTTAACAAACACTTTATTAAATAATCTTATTTACTTTCTAAAATCTTCATATAACTCAATCCACTTACCTGTTTTTACTTCATTTTAATCATAAAAACCACCTCCTCTAAATGATATATTATAATTTTACATAAATGATTGTTAGTCTAGAAAATTAGGATCCTTAAATTATGTATTCCATTAACCATATTTTTTACCATCAATATATTCCCCCAAATATATAATTTGATATTCGCTAATTATAATTTAACATAACTTTACTAATAATCATAATCTTCGTGTATATCAATCCAAAATCCACTCTTAACTCCATTTTAATTATACTCACCTCCACCTCTATAAATATTTATTATTTAAATATACATCAGCTAAATTTCATCTTCAAAGCTCATCTGAAAATATGTATCCCATCTTCCAAATTTTAATCCATTTATATATTTACCTACAAAAGTAATAAAACGTTCACTAATTATAATTTATATCAATAAACTTGCTAAATTTATCATGAATATCAACCCAAACACCATTTTTTTGGCCATTCTCATCATATATTCCACAAGCACTAAGTTTTAATCTAAATTCCTTACATAACTTAATCTTTAAGACTTGTTGTCCACTCTCCATGTCTCTTATCTTATTTATAAACACCAGAACTAATGATTTAACTTGAACTAATTCAATTTTTTTTTTAATTTACTCAAAGAAATTTGTAAATAGTTCAATCCATTTTCCCTACTTTTATCCATTCTCATTATAATGTCCTCCTACATTCAAATTATCTCCTCTCCAAAAAGCATTCCATTTACCAACTTTTTTTTAATTTCCTCCATATTCTCCTTCCCATCGAAGGTATTTAATTTACTCTACATTTTTAATGACTTCTGTCTAATTATACCCTTCATACAGTTTTTCTCTTATTAAAATTTTAATATTTTAATTACATTCTAAGGATCTCACCATCCATAATATATTTTATTAATCCATCTTTTATATATTCAACTAAAAAATTAGTTTATCTTAAATTTCTAAATCTTTATTCTACTCCTTCTTCTAAAAATCTTCCTACTTACCAATTCTAATCATTTACTAAGTTATTATTGAACTTTTTACATCTAACACGTTTGCAAACTTCATTGCTTTCTGATGATCTCATAAATTAAAAATTAAATTTATCTTATATCTAAAAATCAAATATACTATAAAAATTATCATAAAAATATCAGAAATTAAGTAAATAATATTATTTCATATAATTATAATTTTACTAAATATTACAATTAAAATTTATATATATTAATAATACTATAAAAAATATATAGTATAATAATTAAGCTTATTTGTATATTAAAATATTAATATATAATTCAAGTACACATAATTAATCATTTAAATAATTCATTTTTTTTTTATTGATTTCTTTTTTATACCCTATTTTAAATCTTATTCGATGCTAATCCTTAATGATATTTATTTGAATTTCCTATAAAGGCTCTTCCAATTTCTCCCCCAGATCTAGCATCTCTATAATTTTCTTTTGTCCTTTAAATTGCTTCTCTGAAAGTGATGTTCCCATTGAAAATTTGAAATTCTTTTAAGCTCTTCTCTATTATTTGCTTATGGAATCTATTTTATCTTTGAAATTGAATTGTTCGGCACTGTTTTGCGTCCATTTTTATTTATTTTATTATTAATTTTAAATAATCATGTTTGTATAAAATAACTTATTTCTGATCAATACAAATATAAATACAAAAATATGCTATTTTAATAACAATTCTAAAATTTAATTTAAAAAAAATTAAAACAATAATAAGTTATCTAAATTGAATCTCAAGGGATAAAGATTAATTGGAGAAATTCTCTATAGTTATCTAACAGCATAAATAGCAAAACGATAATTTGATGTTGAAGATACTTATTTTCAATCATTTATAATATATATTAGTTTGTTCATAATTGATTTTAGAATTTACTGATATCAAAATATATTGATTATTGTTAATATATGCTATATAGTAAGATATTTCAATTATCAGTTGAAATTAATTTAGTACCATAAATGGGATATTGTTTGTTTTAAAGGGGATATCAAAATTTATTATGCATTCTTAAAAAAAATGAGTAATTTTTAAAAANTACATTCTAAGGATCTCACCATCCATAATATATTTTATTAATCCATCTTTTATATATTCAACTAAAAAATTAGTTTATCTTAAATTTCTAAATCTTTATTCTACTCCTTCTTCTAAAAATCTTCCTACTTACCAATTCTAATCATTTACTAAGTTATTATTGAACTTTTTACATCTAACACGTTTGCAAACTTCATTGCTTTCTGATGATCTCATAAATTAAAAATTAAATTTATCTTATATCTAAAAATCAAATATACTATAAAAATTATCATAAAAATATCAGAAATTAAGTAAATAATATTATTTCATATAATTATAATTTTACTAAATATATATATTAATAATACTATAAAAAATATATAGTATAATAATTAAGCTTATTTGTATATTAAAATATTAATATATAATTCAAGTACACATAATTAATCATTTAAATAATTCATTTTTTTTTTATTGATTTCTTTTTTATACCCTATTTTAAATCTTATTCGATGCTAATCCTTAATGATATTTATTTGAATTTCCTATAAAGGCTCTTCCAATTTCTCCCCCAGATCTAGCATCTCTATAATTTTCTTTTGTCCTTTAAATTGCTTCTCTGAAAGTGATGTTCCCATTGAAAATTTGAAATTCTTTTAAGCTCTTCTCTATTATTTGCTTATGGAATCTATTTTATCTTTGAAATTGAATTGTTCGGCACTGTTTTGCGTCCATTTTTATTTATTTTATTATTAATTTTAAATAATCATGTTTGTATAAAATAACTTATTTCTGATCAATACAAATATAAATACAAAAATATGCTATTTTAATAACAATTCTAAAATTTAATTTAAAAAAAATTAAAACAATAATAAGTTATCTAAATTGAATCTCAAGGGATAAAGATTAATTGGAGAAATTCTCTATAGTTATCTAACAGCATAAATAGCAAAACGATAATTTGATGTTGAAGATACTTATTTTCAATCATTTATAATATATATTAGTTTGTTCATAATTGATTTTAGAATTTACTGATATCAAAATATATTGATTATTGTTAATATATGCTATATAGTAAGATATTTCAATTATCAGTTGAAATTAATTTAGTACCATAAATGGGATATTGTTTGTTTTAAAGGGGATATCAAAATTTATTATGCATTCTTAAAAAAAATGAGTAATTTTTAAAAATGACTGAAGGATTTAATATGAGTA